AGGCATGCACCATCACGCCCAGCTAATTTTTGTATTTTTAGTAGAGATGGGGTTTCGACATGTTGGCCAAGCTGGTCTCGAACTCCTGACCTCAGGTGATCCACCCGCCTTGGTCTCCCAAAGTGCTGGGATTACAGGCATGAGCCACCGTGCCTGGCCAATAAAAACAGTTTTTAAAAATCACTTTAGGGTTGTTACTGAGCACTCAATTACAATAAGAGAATAGCAAAGCTGTGTTTGATAATGGGTGGGTGCTTGGGGTGATTGTAATCTAAGAGATTTTCCTGGCAGAGCCAAATTTATATATTAGCAAAATTACTGAATTTTTAGGTCTTTCTGATTACCTTGGGATAGCACGACCTTTGAACATTTAATCTGTTTATTGATAACCTTGCTTAGACTGTGGCTATCCTAATTTGCCCAACATGCTATGAGAGGAGGAAGTCCATGTTTTCTGGGAAACAGTCCCTGTGGTCCAAAATCCGTTACACACCTAGTCAAACTCAGTGTCACATTTCCTCAAAAAGTGAAAAAGCTCGACACTAAAAGAATACGCCTTAAGCAGGGTGTGGTGGCTCATGCTTGTAATCCCAGCACTTTGGAAAGCCGAGGTGGGTAGATCACCTGAAGTCAGGAATCTGAGACCAGCTGGCTCAACATGGCGAAACCCCGTCTCTACTAAAAATACCAAAAATTAGCCAGGTGTGGTGGCGGGTGCCTGTAATCCCAGCTACTTGAGAGGCTGAGGCAAGAGAATCACTTGAGCCTGGGAGGTGGAGGTTGTGGTGAGCTGAGATCACCCCAGTGTACTCCAGCCTGGGTGACAGTGAGAAATATGCCCAATTCATGGAAAGAGTCCTGGATTATAAATAAAAAATTTGTTTCCTAATCCAGATCTTTCCATAACTTTGGGCAAATATCTCACCTTTCTGAGCCCCAGTTTTATTTTCCAGAGAGTGAGGAGCTGAGGCTAAATGATTTCAAGGATATTTTCCACCATTCTAAATTCTATGATTCTACTCTAAACATTTATATTACATTTATTCTCAAATTATGGAACATTCCTCATCAAGTGAAAACAAAATATTTCATCAAATTGTCACATTTCCAGAAAGGCCCATAATTTCCCCTTTTTAATGTAATAGAGATCAGGCGACAGGAGTGAGTGACACCTGACTTTGCACTGGAGGAAGACAGAGAAGAAGAAGTCCTGCAGTGATGGTCGCTGTGGCGGAAGGCAGCCTTTGTGGAGTCCATGTGTTGACTTCTCGCTCTTGCATCACCAGCCTGTGATCACAGGTGCTAATTAAATTAATAAAAAGGCATTTTGTTAAGACATGTGCCCCACACCTGCTGTGTCACCAGGCACAGCTTTCTCGCCTGTTGTGATAGAACAGTTTTTACCAATCACCAATGAAGGCAAAAAGACAGTAACAGCAAGAAGGAAGAGTCACCCTATAGCCAACCTGACCTGATTCTCCCCTGACGAATGCCTATTAATTTGTCATGACACATTAGGAAAGCACACATTTTGAATTTGACATTCCCAGTTACGTAGGGCGTGACAACTTTAATAGTCATTATACTTCCCAGAAATAACATGCTGTCCTCACCCAATTAAGGATGAGGATGATAAACTGAGAAATTATAGCATGTAGAAACAAAACTTAAGACGCAAATGAGGAGCACACCCACCTCTCTATAATGACGCTTTTACGGAATGGTCTGGAGGTCACTTATTTGGAATTATTTTGAATAGCTCTGGTAACGTCTCTTTGACTTGAATGCAGATGCCATGTGTTTTTGTTTGAGGAAGATATATAAAAAAATATTTTTAGCTTACGCTACATTTTATGTTAAAAATGGATATAGCCCAACATATTAGGATTATATTTAGTTGTGAGAGATTTCAAATCCAAAATAAGAATTTATTTTCCTCCCATTTAGAAATCCTGGCAGAATGTCCAAGTCTAACATGGTGCTCCATGGTGTTGGGGACCAAGCAGTTCCCACCCCTTTTCTCTGCTGTGCATGACTGCTATTCTCAGGCTCATCTTATGGCTCACGATGAACTTTATTTTTTATTTTTTTGAGACAGAGTTTTACTCTTGTCACCCAGGCTGGAATGCAGTAGCACGATCTCAGCTCGCTGCAATCTTCACCTCCCAGGTTCGAGTGATTCTCCTGCCTCAGCCTCCTGAGTAACTGGGATTACAGGCTTCTGCCACCACATCCAGCTAATTTTTGTATTTTTAGTAGAGACAGGGTTCACTATGTTGGCCAGGCTGGTCTCGAACTCCTGACCTCAGGTTATCCGCCTGCCTCAGCTTCCCAAAGTGCTGGGATTACAGGCATGAGCCACCGCGCCTGGCCCGTAATTTCCACTTACATTTTATTGGTAATCTTTAGACACAAGACAGGACTTCAAGGAGGCTGGAAAAGTAAGTCCTGTCTTCTAGGCAGCCATGCACCTTGCTTAAAGTTGTGTGTTCTATTATTATAGAACAAGAATTGGCAATCGTTTTCCTGTAAAAAGGCCAGTTAGTAAATATTTCAGGCTTTGCGAGGCACATGGCCTCTGTCTCAACTATTTAACCCTGCGATGGCAGCCATATTTAACCATACGATAGCAGCCATAGACACTACACAGATGAATGCTCGTGGCTGTGTGTCTGTATGAGTGCTTTTTCACGCGGCTGATAAAGACAGATCCAAGACTGGGTAATTTATAAAGAAAAAGAGGTTGAATGGACTCACAGTTCCACATGGTTGGGGAGGCCGCACAATCATGGTGGAATGTGAAAGGCACATCTTACATGATGGCAGATGAGAGAATGAGAGCCAAGTGAAAGGGGTTTCCCCTTATAAAACCATCAGGTCTCATGAGACTTACCCACTACCATGAGAACAGTGTGGGGGAAAAAGCCCGTATGATTCAATTATCTCCCACCAGGTCCCTCCCACAACACACGGGAATTATGGGAGCTACAATTCAAGACGAGATGTGGTTGGGGACAAAGCCAAACCATATCAGTGTCAATAAAACTTTATTTACAAAAGCAGGTGGTGGGCTGGATTTGGCACACAGGCTGACCTCTGTTATAGAAAATGGGTAATAATAGAAAACAGAAAATAGAGATCTCTAGTAGCTTCTGCTATGCCAGGTAGTAGAAATATTAGTACTATTAACTCTGGTAAGTCCTTCCCTCCCCTCTTCCCCTTTAGTACAGTTGGTGGCAAGCAAGATTGCCAACAATTTATAAAAATCAGCGAGAGGGCAGAGGAGGACAAATTCATTTAAGGCTCTCTTTGAAAGACTAGTTAGCGAATTTCAATTATCCCTTTTGTTTATCATTCTGACTCTTACTTTGCTTAGGCAAAAACTTCTGTCATATTTCTGACCTTAGTAAGATAATGGCTATTTTCTGGACAACCACTGGGAAGTGCAAATTTCCATGGAGTAAGCAAGCTGACTGAAGGAAATACAGAGGAGAGGCTGAGAAAATTCCCTGGGGAATAATTATGGTTTTCCCCTCTTTTTGGCAGAGTGGGATAGGGCTGTGATCTTTAAGATCTTGTCTTTCTTCTTAGTGGACAGGGGAGAAAAGGTGCAGGATTGAGATAACCTACCTTGTTTTAACCTAAGTGACTCTCTCCTAGCAGAGAGAGCCGGATAGGCTCCATTTTAGTTTCTTCACTTGCACCCCTTTTATCCCCCTTAAGGGAATAACTAGTGCACGCTGACTCCACGCACATCCAGGAATGCACCTGCTGATAAGATACCAGCAGCTCCTGGGAATGGGCTAGGTGGAAGGTACCTAAAGCCCCTGCATTTATGTCTTACTGATAATTTAATCCCCTGCACCTGGAACTGTTTATTTTTTGTAACTGCTTCTATAACCAATTTTTTTTAACTTTTTGCCTATTCTTCTTCTGTAAAATTGCTTCAGTTAAACCCCCCTCTCCTGTTTAGACCATAGTATAAAAGAGAATCTAGCACCTTCTTCGGGGCCGATAGAATTTTGAGCGCTAGCTGCCTCTCGGTCGCCGGCTAATAAAGGACTCCATAATTTGTCTCAAAGTGTGGCATTTCTCTATAACTCGCTTGGTTACAACAGGATTACACTAGAGAGCTCCCCGTTAAGCAAAATAAACCCAAAAGAAGTTTGATAAACATTCATTGTGGAAATTTTACCTTTCATCAATTTTATTGAACTTATTTTAATGAATCCAATGATAACATGTGACTTAAGTCACATAGAGATACACAGGCCGGTCACAGTAGTTTGCTCCTATAATCCCAGTGCTTTGGGAGGCTGAGGTGGGTAGATTACCTGAGGTCAGGAGTTTGAGACCAGCCTGGCCAACATGGTGAAAACTGTCTCTACTAAAAATACAAAAATTATCTGGGCGTGGTGGCGTGCACCTGTAGTCCCAGCTACTCAGGAGGCTGAGGCAGGAAAATCACTTGAACCCGGGAGGCGGAGGTTGCCGTGAGCCAAGATCATAGCACTGCACTCCAGCCTGGGTGACAGAACAAGACTCCATCTCAAAAAAATAATTATAAACACACACACACACACACACACACACACACACACGCAGAATTAAGAGTCTTCCATGATCCATCCTCCCAGTCTCTCCCAGAATGTCCTAACAATCAAACTGTGTGCCAGGAAAAAGGGATTGTTAATAGTAACTTCTGTTGCTTCCAGAACTCTTAAAGTGAGATAAGCTGCTCTGCAAACTCCCTTCCTGGTTCCTTTTTCTTTTTCTTTTTTTTTTTTTTGGAGACTGAGTCTCGCTCTGTCGCCCAAGCTGGAGTGCAGTGGTGTGCTCTTGGCTCACTGCAACCTCTGCCTCCCAGGTTCAACCAATTCCCTGCCTCAGCCTCCCGAGTAGCTGGGATTGCAGGTGCTTGCCACCACAACTGACTAATTTTTGTATTTTTAGTGGAGAGGAGGTTTCACCATCTTGGTCAGGCTGGTCTTGAACTCCTGACCTCATGATCTACCTGCCTCGGCCGCCCAAAGTGCTGGGATTACAGGCGTGATCCACCATGCCCAGCCTCCTTTTTCTTAAGATCCACTTAAGATCTAGTTAGTAGGATATTAACTTGCAAGATCTTCCCTTTCCATAGTACTGACTACTGGTAAATCTACTTTTAGATTCTCCCAAACTTCTACGTTTGTGTTTGGTAGAAAAGATACTTTAATTAAACTGGTCAAACATTTTTACTACATGGATCCAAGACTGGAACAATAGTGGCTTTAGATTTCCACATTTATGAAAGGTGACTCAGAAAGTTAGCATGCAACAGTCAAGCTAAAGGAATCTGAGAGATAATTTAGTCCAAATTCCTTAGTTGACAGAGAGGAATTGAGGTACAGGGAAGGAAGGTGATGTGCTTTGGATTAATTAGCATGTCTAATTAATAATAAAATGTGGTAGAAACTCAGGTCTTCTAGTTTGCAGAAACACTTGAAAGCTCCACTCTGCCTCCTGAAGAGCTGGACTCAGCGGGAGGGCAGACCTTACAGGGAACAGGGAGTGGAGGGATGGCCGCCCATTGACAGTCGAGCGTTAGCAAGTGGGAGGAGATATCTGGCTTCTCCATTCCTTCTTTTTTTCTCTTTCTGGTTTTGCTAATTTATTTAAAAATTACATTTGTTCAAGTCAAATTAGCACTTGATACTCATTGTTGGATTTCTTTAGGTCATCCTGCTGCTCTCTCGGTTTCCCAGGGGTTTGTGCGTCTGCCTTGTGCTATGCATTTTCCCACGGCCTTGTTGGTTCCTTCCACAGAGGCAAATGTAAGTGCTTTTCCTTGCTTCCTGTGCTGTGTGCTGTAATCACTGTATCTCCTATTTTTGTAGTGGCATGGACATTCTATCGACACTGAATCCGGGTACTCCCTGGAGCACTTTCTATGCTTAGCAGAGCTATTTATTTTTATTTTTATTTTTTGAGACAGTCTTGCTCTGTTGCCCAGGCTGGAGTGCAGTGGCATGATCTTAGCTCACTGCAGCCTCTACCTCCAGACTTAGGTGACCCTCCCACCTCAGTTTCCTGAGTAACTGGGACCACAGGTGAACACCACCACACATGGCCAATATTTTTAAATTTTTTGTCGAGACAGCGTCTTGCCATGTTGCCCAGGTTAATCTTGAACTCAAGCGATCTGCCCACCTTGGCCTCTCAAATTGCTGGGATTACAAGTGTGAACCACATTGTTATTACATTATCTACCAAGGTGGCTGTCAAACCCCTGTGGAGAGTGCCTATTTTACTGATATACCATTCTGCTTTCATTTCACACATCACTTTCCCAAGAATAGCAGAGACAAGAGACATCTTTTCCAAAACTCCATCAAAATGACAGAGCCTTGGCATGGCCTTCCCCACCTCCTGCAGATTCTGTGTCACACAGCTCACGGTGGACAGTTTGCCGGCTCTTGGGCATGGCGAAAGAACGATCTTTGGAAGATCAGGGAAGCCCAGAAGTTCACAGAAAAGAAAGCTCTCAAATTCTTCTTGCAACAGTGGTAAGTAAGAATGGCCTTAGCTTCTTCTGAAAAGGCTGCATGTCCCCTGGGACAAGGACGAAGTGCAGTGTTGCGGGGAGACCTGTCCAGCTCAGGTGGAGAGCACACAGTGTAAGAAGCGCAAGATGCACCCCAGCAGGAATTCTGGGCCGTTTCAAGCATGCTGGGGTGTCTCCTGGTTTTTCAGGTGGTGTCAAGGAAGTAGCCCCAAATCTAGAGGGCATTTAATTTACTTTGGCTTAATATGAGTGTTTTTGGGAAGAAAGGAAAAGTATCACATTTAGGTCAAACAAAAAGGTTACTAACATTTGCTTTGGAGAAACGTTGGAGTTATTAAACATTAAAAATTCAAACAAATGTGTATGGCAGTGTAGTTTTGTAAGGGGCAGAAATACTTAGTACATCTATTAATTTCCGGGGTCGTTTTCATAAGTGGATAACATTTTTGTAGATGCATATGAACATATGGGTTTATATACACACACATATTCATATTATATATGTATAATATACACAGATAATACACACATCTATATACAAATAATATGAATATATTAGTATATTTTTATATGTATATGTGTATATGTATACACACATACAGTACATATGTAAATGTGTATTTGTTATTTATAAATGTATATATAATGCATGTATACATACATATGTATACTATGTCATACACATATATAAATATATATCATATATCAACATAATATATGTGTATTATAAAATATACGTATATAGTATACATCTTATACATATGTATATTTTATGTATGTATAATACATAGTATATATATAAAATAAATGTATTTCATGTACATATATTACATAGTATACATATGTATATAAAATACATGTGTATTTCATACATGTATATTATATAGTATACGTATGTATATATACATGCATTATAGCACATAATATGGAATATATGTGTATATATTTATACATGTATACATGTATATACATGTGTATATACACATACACACGTGTGTTCATATGCATCTACTAAAATTTTACTCATTTATGAAGATGACCCTGGAAATTGATACACATGTTGAAACTGAGTCTTTATATATACATATATACACATACATGCACACATACACATATAAACATACATATATACATACACATATACACTAATAGATTATATTGACATTGCTGCAAATCCTTCTTTCCCCATATATGATTATATTGCAAGATCCCTCTCTCTACATATGTGTATCTGTGTATGTTGTGTACTTTTCTCATTTGAATTTTTTTTTTTCTTTGCCATCAGGAAATGTGGCAGGCAGGAAAGCGAAAAAAGAGAAGATAGAACAGGATTGGGTGACCAAAAGATGCCCAAACATTAATGTGAAAAGAATAAATGCTTAATCATAATAATTAGGGACATATGCCCTTTCTGAATCTCATCTGTTTTAGCTTAAGGAAAGAAATTTTTTAAATAACATTTTTAAATGAAGGAAAGCCTTTTTCTTACTTTCTAGAACCAACAAAGGCAACCTTATGTTGCAAGTCATTATAGCAAAAGCATTAGGAAGGAAAGACCATTTAAAGTGAGATCTGTCATTAATTTCCTAACTACTCGCTTGAATCTCATAAATAATTTTAAGTAGAAAGGGTTGTCAAATGTGATTAAGGTCATTATTTCAAGTTAAAGTAGCCCACAGGCTTTCTGATAGAAAAATCTTTCTATAGAGAGATGAACTAAGGTTTCTTCAAGGTTAGGAGTCCCTGGAGCCTATTCCATGAAGATATATTACAGTAGAGATGATCAAGTACACAGAAGTCATCTGAGAAGATTGTACAAGGTTTCTCAAGGTGAGAGGTCTCTGAACAAGAACAGATGATATTATTTTAAGAAGATTTGCTGGGCGTTCAGTTTCCAAAATGAATTGTAATATATGTTTTTCAACCTAAAAACCGACATCTGTGTTGGGAAAATAATAGCCTAGGCATCATTTAGTTCATTTAACAAATATTAACTGAGGCGGTACTCAGTGCGCCAGGCATGCTTCTAGCTTCTTGGGATGTGATGGGAACCAAATGAAGTCCCTGCTCTCAAATAGCTCAGACTCTTAGTGTGGAGACAGGCAATAAAAACAATTATAAAAGATAGCAGAGCTCCCATCCTGGCTAACATGGTGAAACCCCATCTCTACTAAAAATACAAAAAAAAAAAAAAATTAGCTGGGTGTGGTGGCAGGCGCCTGTAGTCCCAGCTACTCAGGAGGTACTCAGGAGGCTGAGGCAGGAGAATGGCGTGAACCCGGGAGGCGGAGCTTGCAGGGAGCCAAGATCACGCCACTGCACTCCGGCCTGGGCAACAACAACAAAAAAAGATAGCAGAGCTCATCATCTGCAGTGAGAAACACACAAAACAGACAATGACAAAGCCCAGTGGCAAATGTTATGGACAGGGAGAGGATGGGGCATTCTCCAAGTTGGAAGGCTAAATCTGTATTAGTCAGGGTTCTCTAGAGGGACAGAACTTATAGGACATATGAATATATGAAAGGGAGTTTCTTAAGGAGAATTGACTCACACGATCACAAGGTGAAGTCCCCCAATAAGTCATTTGCAAGCTGAGGAGCAAGGAAGCCAGTAGTGGCTCAGTCTCAGTCCCAAAACCTCAAAAGTAGGGAAGTGGACAGTGCAGCTTTCAATCTGTGGCCAAAGGCCTGAGAGCCCCTGGCAAGCCACGGGTGTGAGTCCAAGAGTCCAAAAGCTGAATAACCTGGAGACCAATGCTCAAGGGCAGGAAGCATCCAGCACGGAAGAAAGATGAAGGCCGGAAGACTCAACAAGTCAGGTTCTTCCACCTCCTTTCCACCTGCTTTTTCTAACCGCACTGGCAGCTGATTGGATAGTGCCCTGTCTCTACCAGTGGGAGAGGCAACACCCAGAAACACCCAGATACACTCAGAAATAGTACTTTGCATCCTTCAATCCAGTCAAGTTGACACTTAATATTAACCTTCACAAAAGCCTATCTTCCTCAAACAAGTGATATTTAGCTGAGACCTGAAGGATAAGCAGGGTTGGCACAGCCCAGGTAGGTGAGAGATTGGGGTGAGGTAAAGAAAGGGTGTTCGCAGCGGAGTGGCCAGCACTGCAAAAACCCAGAGGTGAGAAGGCCCAGGTGAGAAGGGGCAAGTTGTGTCTTAGGAAATGGTTGTGTGGCTGCAAAAGGAATTGAGGAGAAATGACAGAAGATTGGCTTGGAAAGGCATGCAGAGGCCTGGTCATGCTGAATCTTGAAAGCTGTCATCAGAAATCTGAAATTTTGTCTTAAGGGCAATGGGCAGCCACTTTTAAGTTTCTAGTAGGGAAGTGACATGAACAAGTTTTGTTTAATAAAATCCTTTTGAGGGTAGTGTGAAGGCCAGATTGGAAGTGGAGCAGAGTCATAGACAGAAAGCCCCTCAGCAGACTGCATTGGCCAGCCGGGAAACAGACGAGGGGGTGGCTGCTACTAGTGGGTGACAGTGAGGACTATAAGGAGAGGTAACACTGACGATGTGCCAAGTACTCTTCTAAGTGCTTTCTTTCTTTTTTCTTTCTCTTTTTTTTTGGACAGAGTTTGCTCTTGTTGCCCAGGCTGGAGTGCAATGGCACGATCTCAGCTCACTGCAACCTCCTTCTCCTGGGTTCAAGTGATTCTTCTGTCTCAGCTTCCCGACTAGCTGGGATTACAGGTGCCCGCCACCATGCCTGGCTGATTTTTGTGTTTTTAGTAGAGACGGGGTTTCACCATGTTAGCCAGGCTGGTCTTGAACTCCTGACCTCAGGTGATCCACCTGCCTTGACCTCCCAAAGTGCTGGGATTACAGGTGGGAGCCACCGTGTCTGGCCTTCTTCTAAGTGCTTTCTATGCATGAGCTCAGTTAGTCCTTATAGCATCCACACGAGGAAGGCTCTATTATCACCATGTACATCTTACAAATGGAGAAACGATAGAGAGGCTAAGTCGCTTGCATCACCAAGTAAGTAGATCTGGGATTTGTTTGTTTGTCTGTTTTTGAGCAGGGTCTCACTCTTGCCCAGGCTGGAGTGCAGTGGCATGAACATGGCTCACTGCAGCCTCAACCTCCTGGGCTCAAATGATCCTCCTACCTCAGCCTCTTGAGTAGCTGGGACTATAGGTACGTGCCACCATGCCAAGCTAATTTAGGTCTCGCTATGTTGCCCGGGCTGGTCTTGACCTTCTGGGCTCAAGCAGTCCTCCCACCTTGGCCTCCCAAAGTATTGAGGTTATAGGCGTGAGCCACTGTGGCTGGTCAGATCTGGTCAGATTTGAAGCCCCGTTGTCTAACTGCAAGTTTAACCATTTCCCTACAGTTTTCTTTCTGGGGTAGGCTGATTTGAGGAAGATCTAGAGTTGACTTGAGAGCGTCCAGTGATTGACTCCATTTGGGAGCCATGAGGGTAGAAGGTGTTCAGGAGGATGACTGGGTGGGTGATGTTGCCTTTGACTGGGAGGAAAAAGAGGAGGATTTGGGGGTTTTTTTTGTTGGTGGGGGGACATGGAGATAAGGAGTCTAGTTTTAGGCATTGTTGAATTGGGGATGCCATGTGAAGATGTCCAGTAGACTTACAGATGTAGAACTCAGGACCCAGGCCAGGACTGGCAGGTATGGATTTGGGAGACCTCAATATGAATGTAATTGAAGCCAAGAAGTGGATGAAATTGCCTAGGGACAGTATCGGGGGTGATCAGAGAAGATACCAACGCCAAGGGACACCATTAAGGAATGGATATTAGAAAATTAGCTTGAAAAAGAGGCTGACAATGTGGCTGGAGAAGTTTGAGAAAATCAGAGGAATGTGGAGTCACAGAAATCAGTAAGAGAATGTTTTCAAGAAGAGGACGACTGCTCCCAGCTCCTTGGGAGGCTGAGGTGGGAGAATTGTTTGAGCCCAAGAGATAGAGGCTGCAATGAACTGTGTTCATGCCACTGTACTCCAGCCTGGGCGACAGAGCGAGACTCT